TGAAAACAAATCTTCCATTTCCATAATCACTTGGGCTGGATGAAAAGGTAAATTACACCAAGGAGCAAATTTTAGGTCAATGAGGAAAAGAGCCAGACCTCATCAAGCATTTTAATGTAATATACTTACGAAGACAGTGATCTTCGTAATCTTAGCCGCTAAGTGTCTAAATCCTTTTTGAAAATGAAATGTGGACTCCTAAATTAGGTAAGTGTTGCAATACAGAGCGCTACAATACCTAAATATCTTTAAAAACTGTGCCTATGTGCCCTGAAAGAAAACTACTTTTTTTTAAAGCAGAAAAAGAGCAACCGACAGTCCTGCTCCCCGCCCAGTTTTATGCAAAGAAAATACCAAAAATCCTTTATTCGGCACCGAAAGAACTTCTTCCTCACGCCCTCTGCGAATCCCACCTAAAGCAGCTGACTTTGCAGAGTGCTTGAAGGTCTGAAAAGTCAGGCAATTTCGAAACAAAGATGTTGGAAAGGAAGGAGCAATTTTCAGAACTGAAAAGACCTCCTGGAGAATGCCCAGCCTTCAGTTCCCTGGTTTACATTTGAATTCTCTTTAGTAAATCACTCTTTGCATTTGAGCTGTTATGTCATAGTCCAGCAACATGCTTAAGTGTACGTGTAGTTGCAGTTAATCACGTAATCCATACAGAACAATGGAACCACTTATATGCTAAAAATTACATACTTGCTTAAGTACCTTACTGAACGAGGACCTTTTGGAATTAAGACCAGGATCCCTACTATGATGCTTGAACAATGATATTGGCTTTACTAATTGCAGCAATAAACTGATGTGTGTACTACTCCAGCTAGTTTTTTTGTCCCCCAAAGTAACTGTTTTAAGGAATGAATTCACTCATTATTAATGAACTATAATGTATTACTATGTTACACATATATCGTACGCTTTGTCTGAGGATCTCCAAACATACTGCAGAAAAGTAGAAAGTCTATCATACAGCAAAGCAAGGGTAACATGTTCAAGGTGTGTCAGGCAAAAACAAAAAATTACAGTTTTCCATAGATTACTCAGAAACCCCTACTCTGCTAATTTGGAGAAGCTCCATATAGCATGGTGAATAGAAACTGTAGCAGGCCTGTGAATGACCAGAGATGAAAGGCTTGTAAATGGTATCTAATAAAGATATTTATCATTCATATAGCTCCTGATGACTTCAAAGGATTGAAAATCTTAATTAGGTAATGTTTGTACAACATCCCATGAAATAGATCAGAATCCATACATTCTGATCCCAGATCTATAACTCATTCCTTGTCTTGCTTAAGATGGTCACTGATCCTTGCTGGGGAAGGTAGGGTGCTGAAAGGCTAATAGTAAGGCACAAAATGACTTGTTGCAGGTGACCTAACAAGACAATATGTTTCCTCAAGTTACAAACATATATCTAAATACTGGTAATGAATAAACACATGAATTTCAACTAAAATATTAAGTTCCAAAGTATTTGTGACTTGTGATAATTGTTACTACTTCTTAAGGAAGTGTTCTACGTACTCAAACTTTACAAAATTCAGTAAAATACAATACTTAATTATGTATATTATGTATGCCAAGCAGAATACATAATAGCTTAAAACCAAGTTTTTCACCATCTCTCTGAACATTATTGTAGTAGTTTTCATGCTTTGTTCTGAGTTGCAGCCTGTTTCAATACAATTTTGCACTCTGCTAGTCCCCCACTCCCAATTTTAAAATACAAATCTGAAGTTATTTGCTATGGTATTTTATTGGAAAATTTTAAATATATATTTTCTTATATTTGGCATCAATGGTAATCCATCAATTTAATGAAATTCTATAAAGTAACCTATCCCAGAAAAAATAATCTAAATTAATAAGAGGCTTATATATTTTAAGTGATAGTTAAAATGTGGTGAGGCTGGGAGTAAATGGTGAATAGAGACAGCATAAGATTAGATGCCATTTATCATAAGAGCACAAGTCAATATTAAAATGCATCTGTGGCTTTCAGCAGCACTTGGAATATGGGTATGGATTTTTAAATTATTTTTAAATGTAAAAATTCTGTTAAAATGCAGAAATGGTCTGCTCTGTCTTTGGCTCTTTTGGTGCACGTGAGGAGGTACTTTCCAATGGAGATGAACATGAACTCATATTATTCATTTCTCACAGGAAAGCCCAGGCTATAATCTAAAATAATAGCTTAAAACACAATTGTGAAATGTGGCTTTGGGGAAACTTTTCCCGTGTGTTCATACACTTTAGAATAAAACAAATCCTGCTTCTCCAGGACATTAAGCCTGGTAGAGATCTGAAACATGGTTAGAATATGTTGGTTTTTTCTGTCCAGGCAGGTGCGAATTAGTGTGTGGTATCTGGTTTGCCCACAACTGAGATTCATAATCTTGTTTAGGCATTGTTATTTTTGTAGTGCAGGCAGGGCCTGGATGAGCTAAAGATTTAAATTCACTATCTTATCACATTTTTAGATTGTGAAATTACTCTTGGCTCCTCGCTGTCTTCAGCTGCTCATCTTTATTGCTAAAGCAGCTGCCACACCTGTAGTCAAACATGCCCAGCTACTGAAAACATTTGCAACAGTCAGCTACCATCAGCTGCGGTGAAACCGCACATAATGCCCCTTACACTTTATACAAAAAACTGCACTTTGTCAAATTGAGGGCATTTTGCAGCTGTGATTTGAATACACCTGTGATACTGTAACCTAACACTGTGGATAGAGTCCTAAATCTTCAAAGCAACATCAGCATGTTTACTTCACTGATGATTTATGGCTTGATTTACAATCTGTTACCATTGGTAACAAGAGTAGAGACTACACTGTGGACTTCTGTAGGGACTGCTGTAGGAATTGCTGTGAAATTCTTCTCTCTCATTTCTCATTTTATGTGAAAATCAGAATTTTTTTTCATGAGTAGTTTCTCAATGCACAGCAGGTATTAACTAAGGTAAATTGCCTAAGATTTTCCTAAAACAGGCAGAGCCCACTGAAATTCACAGAACAGGGTTATCCAACTTCCCTGATTTTACATTTAGAAAGAGATTACATAACATTTTATCTAAAGGACCAATCATGGGTTAACACTTTCTACTGCCCATCTCACTTAGTTCATTTCACCTAAGTCACCAATTTTTAGCTAGGGAATACATTCCAGCCTGGGAGCCCATCCTTATTTGCTGTGGGCAAGGCGGACAGGGCTGTGATGTTTTCACCTCCCTCTTTTATATTCCCATCTCTCTCTACATATGACCATGTTTAAAATGAGTAAGTTGCAGGATGGATGGAATGGGATGGACAAGGTAGAGTGGGAAAAAGAGGTATGTGTGGTGGGAATATTTTCTAAAAATAAATACTTCCATTTGGGGTAGTTGGAGGAGGATCTGGTTCATTCCAACAATATAAGAAACTGGCTTTTCAGAACTACCTTTATAAACTAAGTTATTTATTACCAAATGAGTTATTGCTATTTATAGGTGGACGTGCCAGAGACCCTGGACTGCAAAACCTCCCTGCACTCAAATTCTCCCTTAAAAGACAGGAAATAGTCTCATGTATTGTACTGTGATATTTGGCTCTTCAATGTATTTTGAAGAGTAACTTACTATGTCGCCATTCCCTTGTCATTGGCCTATCCTTTATTCCACTCACTTTCCCATTTTTCTGTATTTTAGTACATCATATTCAGTGTTTGCTCTTTTCTGTGTCTTTTTCCTCCTCTTCTATCTCCTCCTTCTCATTCCTTGTGTTAACTGCTCTACTTCTCTCCATGTTTTCCCATCTCTTCCTTCTGCCCACACTCATATCCTACCAATTATCTTTTCTAACGGATCACCTCATTCTCTCCTCCTCCACCACTTCTCTCAGTTACTAATCCCAAAGGGCACCACCTTCAATAAAATTCCTCCATTTCTGCATGTACACATGCTCTTCTCCCACTGAGATTCTCACCCTTGTTCCCTGGTATGTCGCAAGATGCATGAGAGGCCAAAACTGTTTTTCTCTGGGGAGAGTAGTATCTTGGGAGAGATGGTTGGCAGATCGTCTCCCGGAGGATTTCGAAGAAGGTTGACAGTGGCTGGCTCCCCTCAAATGACTCTTTGGCTGTGCAGCGAATGCTTTGGATTGTGATTAGTTCTCTTGCCAGATAGAGCAAAAAATGCTCACTAAGACTTCCCTTACAGCTCTGATTTAGCTCATATGATCAAGCCAATGTCAGGCTTCATGATGACTGGGTAAATTCTGTCTTTATATTTAAAGATGTGAATTGCTTGGCACTACTGCCTATTATACTGACCAATACTGTCTCATTGTTTCTTTGGTCTCCCCCGTTTCTATCCATTTGTAATTTCTACTCTTATACTTAAGATTGTAAGGTCTTTAGGGGTAGGCACCATCTTTTTGTCCCATGTTTGTAAGGCACCTAGCACAATGAGGCCTTAGCCTCAAACAATAAAAAATATCTATGGGTCCAGTTGGCAAATTATGGGCAGGAAGCCAAAACTTACCCCATTCCCTGGAGCCTGCCTGGGGCCCAGGGACCACATATTGCACACAGGCAAAATATGAAGTGTGCATTCAAGAGAGGAGTTGAATTAATCACTGGAAAGCATCCAGGCAATCACACACATGATGGAGTCAAATCAAATCTAAATGAAAACAAAAACTATGTATCCATTTTCTCTCTCTACTTTTGGCTGTTACTCCTGGTCTTAACTCACTTGTGTGTATTACATATATTCAATGAATAACAACAATCTTATCTCTCTAATGCAGAGATATACAATTGTTATTCAAGTAAAGATGGGTGTTCTATTTAAAAAAACAACAAAATAATATTTTGGGTAAATTAGTGTCTGCAAGGGAATTTATATTTCTCTATTAGATCCTCCTATATTGTCTGGTAGGCTGTATATTTATAAAAAGAGAATGTTAACTTTATAGGTCTACGTTACTATATGCTATAGAAATATCTACTCACAACCTGCTTGTATCTCAGGGGGAGTATTCAAAAGCATCATGGCAGTGGCAGCATCAATGTCAGGATCTGGAAAAATCAACCAATAAATACATTATTTACAACTGGGCTAATCTTCTTTTTACCCCCCTGCTAGACCGAATCTCTGCATTGAGAAGGAATAAAGATCCAATTTGCTTTGGAAAATTCCAACATGTGATCAAACTTGCGCGTGATCCCAAAACTTCTGTTAAATTAACTACACTGAGGTAAGTATATTTATCACTGTAATGTATGCTTGTGCACACAGTGTGTTCTGTTATTCCTCTCAAGCTTGCTACTTAATTTCTGTAAGGAGCATTTAGGTTTCATTACTAATGCTCTGTGCAAGTAGAACTCTTATCATGAGTTGGAGTGTCAACGTATTGGGATAAACAATAGCACAGTGAAGAGCTTCAAACACATAGTCAGACACAAAGATGATATGTGATCATTTTCATATGTCAATAAGAATTTAAATTAATAGTGAGAAAGTGCCGAAATCAAAACCTCTAAAAATCTATGAAAACAAAACCAGTGTTTCACTGAAAATACCTAAGTGATTTGCATCCATACCAGCTATTGTTACTTTTGATAAAAGCAAAAATTGTTACTTGGCTGCCATTATTCGCAAATCAGTTTCTGAATCCATTTTGAGCCATCAGTTGACAGATGGCAAGTTAGAGAGACAGAATAAAATATGATCCTTTTATAACTATATTCACTTTTTTCAGACGCAGCAGCGCGGCTGCTATGGAAATGGAGGTAACCATGACAACAGTAAACAACCCAAGAACGGCCACTGAATAAGCTGAAAAGAACATCTGCCCCAGCAAAGCGTCCCAGCTGCCCTGGGGCGAAACTTGCTAATCGTGCAGTGATGCCGTGTGACAGAGAAAGCCGCCTATGCCATGTCCAAATAAATGAAGTGTGCAATTGAAGCAGACATAAAAACGCACGCCCTTGCCGACTGCTGCCTCTGTAGTGTTAAACTGAATGACTAATGAGCTCATTTAAAAAAAAAAAACACAACTTGTCAATTTATACTAAATTATGTACCAAAAAAATTCAATTTACTGCTAATAGCTTCATGGTACTTTATTTTGGGTATTACATTGGAAAATTACTTTTTACTGTTAAAAATACATTTTTCATAGTTTTATATGTGCCATTCTATTTCCAGGGAAGTAAATGTGATATAGTATAAAGCCCTACAAGCTATTAATAATACAAATGATGCAGAGCATAAAAGATTCTAATATCTAAGCAAAAATAAATTAACTCCACCTACAAAGACAAAGAGTTTGATTCCAGCTTGAGTGTGTGTGTGTGTGTCTCTCTCTCTCTCTATATATATATATAGACACACATACACACACAAACACACTGTATTATAAATGGGTATAACAACTTCATCTACGATTCCTGTAACAGTAAATTCAAAAAATACAGAATCAGTTCCAAGAAGTTTACACGCCAGTTTGGTTCTACCTCTGCTCTGGATTTGCACAGGTGCCAATATACAGAAAGGCAGTTGCTGAACTTCAGCTCACATCAGCATTTCCTACTGCCAAGGGTCACTCCTAGTACACGCCTCATAAAAGAGTTCACAAACTCACATTCATTATTAACTCTGAAAACAGGCCAAAGGCAGGGTTTGTCCCAAAAGTCTGCACTGCCGCGGAGCTGTTTGGAAATGGAAATTAACTTTTACACATGACCCTTGGGTGGAACTGTGTGTTTAATACACCACATTTTGCAGGATCAAGTTAAATTACAGCAAATAAAATATTGTTTTCTTTAGCTACACTAAAAAGGAAGAGTACCCAGAAGAGATTCATATTTAAAACAGAACAATCTTACCCATATTAAACACTAACTTAGAAAACAGAATGGAAAGAACTTTAGTATGCCAATGTATTTTGTTGCTATTCATGAAGCCAGTTTTAGCCTTTATTTATAGGATGTCCCAGTATGATCTTACTTTCTGGTTTTCTTAACTTAGGTGATGTTCCAGTGTCTGGATAGCAAAGACTGTGGAGAAACAATCTTTTCCAGTGAAATTACAAGCAAAAGCATACCCATGGAAACGCTTATAAACAACTCCTACATTTTGGGTCTATATCAATGTGGCCAGCATAGCTTGAAAATGTTATGTTTTAGGATTTGACACTTCTACAAGAACAAAGGTGGTTTTGTAATCACTTGGACACTAATCACAACTGCTACAACAAACATGGGGTGTCCACAGCAGCTATTTTCCACAACACAACCAAGCTTCCTAGATATGTCCACACCTGCTATTCTGTCTAGCCATGTTTGTATCCTGCACTTTTGACAAATCTCAGCAGAGGACACAGCACCCAGAAGATATGCACACAGGGTGGTATCAGCAAAATAAGGGACCATCCACATTGGGATGGCATACTGAACGTAGAAATGGGACCAAGTTGGGAACTGCATGACCTGGGCAGAAGCCTCATCTGTACCATTATAAAGAAAAAAGCATCTCAGTCTTGTAACATGAAGAATACCACATGACAGAATAGGTCACAAGCAGAGATAAAGGCAAAACACTGATAGGTGACAATCACTGCACTACCTGATTAGAAACAGGTAAAAAGTTGGAGGATAGCCAGTGCAATAGCGCAAACTGACCGTGGAAGGGCAAGTTCATGCTCTAATGTCAAAGGGACTCAATGTAGTTGTCAAGGAGATTTTTAGAAGGGGGAAAACAGAATTGTAATCAGAAAAATGCTTTTATTTTACCTTAGCTATAAAAACAAAGTAGGCATGTTTTGATCTCTTTTTAATCTAGAAAAGGAGAAACTAGAATAGACAACTACAGAGAGTGAAAGAGATTCACAAGGTGGAAATAGAAGAAATCCATCTAAACGGGAAAAGGACAAGAAGGAGATGAAGGAAAAAGTGATGGGTGTTATAAAGTGCATGAGGAAGAAGTCAAAATGGGTTCAGAACCAGAGCTCTGAAAAGGCAACAGCAAAAGCAAATGATCAATTGTAGTTTGATCTCCCAACTAAAGATGTTAAATATCGATTAATTTACTAGTTGAATAGTCAATGGAATTTCCATCAACTACTCGACTAGTTGATAGGCATGTCCGCATTCCTTCTTTGAAATGTACAAGAGCCCCAGTGGGGGCTCTTGTGCACTTCAAAGTTGGAACTCCACATGCAGCCTGGGCCAGCGGGAACTCTCGCTGACTCCGGGCTCCACAGGGCACTTCCACTTTGAAATGCACACACACCTGCGTAGAGCCTGGGGTCAAAGTCCCTCATTGACCCCGGGTTCCATGCCCCTTTGAAATGCCGCACGCAGCCCAGGATCAGCTGGGAACTCCCCAGCTGACCCTGGGGTCTACGTGGTGCTGCCACTTTGAAACACCGCAGTGGCATTTCAAAGGGGGCAGCGCCACACAGCTGATCCCAGGCTCCATGTGGTGCTGCAACTTTGAAATGCCATGGCGGTGTTTCAAAGCAGCAGCGCTGCACAGAGCCCGGGATCAGTAGTGCGGCTCTACCCCTTTCAAACACTGCATCAGTGTTTCAAAGTGGCAGCGCTGCACAGAGCTTGTATTCTGGGCTCCATGAGGTGCTGCTGCTTTGAGGTTCTGGTAATACCAGTAAAAACCTACATGGGTAGATTCAGCGAAACCCGGTAGGCCTGTGTATGGGCAACAATAAACAATAGGTCTAATGGGCCACACATAAAACCCCAGTGGGCCTGCAGGCCACAGAATGCCCACCATTGCCGTAAACAGTAACACAAGAGCATGTAACAGCTTGAATGGGCATAGTCTAAAAGGCACTGATGTGGTATACACTTTGGATGGACGGTACTTGTAATTCTGCTACTAAACTTTATTCTGCATTGTACTCAAAAGTGAGGATTCCTTTGACACATCAAAGACAAAAACACACATGTGCATACAAATCCTTTCTTGTATCAGAGCATTGGTTATTTTTTCAGTTATGTTTATGACCAACATTCACTTTAAAAGCTATACTGTTTATATTAAAGGTATGTACAGATCACAATATGTTCTATACAGTAATTCAGAATGGTCAAGTAATGATCATGAAGTATCTTGGCATAAAATTGATTACAAAAAGCCAGAAGGTAACAAGAAGTGACAAAAAATAATTAAAAACAAAAGGTGGCACCTGAGAAACCCTAATGTGCCAGCTGTCCGTGTATTATGTTGTTCAGATTTTTGACTTCCAGTTTCACACAGAAGGAAAAAACATTTTATCTTAAAATTATTGGTTTATTATTTATAATAAAGTTTTTAATTTCAAATTCTTTGGCTACCAGAGGAAGATATTCCAGGCCTGCCAAAATGCTAGTTCTTCCCTCATCACTGAAACATCTATAAAAAAACAAAACAGGTATAAAAATGAAAAGGAGTGATGTTCTTTCAAAATATTATTCCTAACAAAATTGTATGGTATATGACTATACAGTACATCATTTTCCATTAAATCATTATAGCACCACACTGAATTTATTCCAAAATAAAGAAAACAGCAATTTAAGTATTTTAAGCAACTATATCCTGAAATTTAAAGCTCAAATTCCAAGAAAGAGGCACTTAAATCCATAGTTTAGCACCTAAAAACGTAGGTAGTTGATAACGTCTAAATGCAAGTCTTTAGGCATTTCTGGCTTCCATCTTGCAAACTCTTATGCACATGAGCGATTTTACGCATTTGGATAGCTCCATTGAAGTCCATGGGACTATTCACATATATATTTGCAAGATTAGGGCCCAAGTAGGGATGTTAAATATTGGTTAATTGAATAGTTGAGTAACCTCATGCATTCTTATCTGTTAGTCAAACTATTCTGTAGTCCCTGGGGCAAGGCCAGCAGCAGTGTGGGGTGCCAGGCAGTTTGAAAATGAGCTCCTCTTGGGAGACAAGCTGCTTATTGCCCTGTGCTTCTGCCTCTGATACAGAAGCAGCAGTGCCAAGTAGGGATGTTAAATATTGGTTAATTGAATAGTTGAGTAACCTCATGCATTCTTATCT